ATTCCCGAATTAAAATAAAAATTTTAGTTAATAATTCAAAATTAAGATTTAACTATCAAATTTTTCTATCTTTTTATACTTTTATTTAGTATTTTTTTTGTAAATGAGTTAACCTAAAATACCACAAATATCCAGCTTACTGCTTTGCAAAATAGCTTTCGTCTTGGGAGTATATATGCACTATACAACATTTCATATATAGTCGGTTTGTTGAATAATGGTTAAATATAGTTCTTTCAAACTACTTTATTGATATAAACTAACATCTACTTGGCTCACCATAGGAAACTGATATGTTTTATTTAGAGTAAATAAATATATGCTTAGGCATTCCATATGGGAGCTGATATGTTTGGTTTCACAATAACATGCAATGTTTGGTTAACAAACACACACACAATTCAAGATTTACATGAAAAGTTGTAAAACATGCATTATAAAATTGAACATCATGGTAAAGGGTAAAGTATTTTGTACATAAACTACGTAAATTAATGTTTACGACTTTCTTTTCTCAATGGTTTATTTAAGTAATGGTTTATTATACTGTTTTATTTAAGTTTAAATATTGGTTTTATCAAGACATACGGATTTTTCTCTTTTCTTATGTGAATATTAAAAAAATAGCATTAATATCTCTTAAAAGTAAATTTTCTTTCTGTGAAAATTAAGATATCATTTTAATCCTTATAGATAAATTTTATCACTATGGCTACAATATCTTTACTTTTTATGAGAGAAGATAAAAAAATTACGCAATATTTACAACAGTTTTTAGATATTTTTGAATTTGATTTAAGAAGTTATCTTATTAAACAATAAAGTATAGATAGGAAAGTACTGATACTTTATTGCATTATAGTTACAATTTAAAACCTTACACATGTAATAAAAACGTATTAAAAAGAATTATATAAATGTTTTAAAATATCAAGAATATATTAAAATGCTTATGTTAGCATCACATTTCTTTATTTTAAAATTAATTTTATTAAGGAATCACTAATTTTGCAACTAACTTCCATTTTTCACTTTAAAAAAAGTGATACTAATAATATTTTACTTACTTATTTTTTTATTTATCTGATTTAAAATAACACTAATATCTTAATAAATTTAAAAACTTTAAGGAAACATTTGTTTTAAAATAATTTTTAAAGAAATATTATGGAGAAAGAAATATTATTTTAAAGAAATATTATTTTAAAGAAATATTAAAAATTTTATTTGGAAATTTTAAGTGTAATAAGTTTATTTATATTCCTTATTTGTTAGCAATAAAATAAAATTTCGTATTTTTTTATATTTTTTTCTCATTGACGAACTAAAAATTTAATTTTTAAATGTAGTAATAAACATTGTAGGTTATATATTTAAACACAATTGAAAACTTTTAAACATAGGTAAGTAAAAATGTTTATTAGATATGCACACATGTAAATATAATACAAAAAGTATTCAAAATTTTTACGTGTATGTAGACTTATATAAAAACAATATGTTCATTTCATTATTAGGAAAAAAATAAACCTTGTAACCTTGTTCAATTGTTTTTTATTTTATTTTATTTTAATTGCTATGTTAGTATCAAAATTAACTGAATAACTGCACTTTTTCAAAACCCAATGGATTATTAATTCGAAATTTAGACTTTTAAAACTTATCAAAATATGAATAGCTTATTTTTGTTATTTTAATCCATTGATATTTAAATTTTTTATGTGTGTAAAGACTGCTTTTTTCTCTCCAAAAGTTAAAATTAAGAAAGAAAAAATATTTTTTTTTAATTATAACAACATTTATGAGAATTTTCAAATTATATCATGAATAATAAATTATTGATAAATTACTCCTGAATTATGAATTATTTATAAATTATGAATTATTTATAGATAATAAATTATTTAAAATTTATTTCCTCAAATATTTATTTTTAATGATCGCAATATTGTAGAGTTGAATAAAATTACTTAAACTAGAATGAATTTGTTTGACTTTTAATATATTTATTTTTGCTGTTTCATAATTGAAAATTAAATAGTCTTAATCTTGCATTCTGATATTTCTTTTCGATTGCGATTTATTACAAAATTTATATTTTTATTGAAAAAAAAGTATTCGTATGTCTTGATATAAAAATAGGATGATTTAAGTATATATACTTTTTTTAAAAATAAATTCATCATCTATACAATGACAAGAAAAAGTTACATAAAAAATGAATTTAGCAAAACATATTTCAGTATAAGTTGATAAAAAATACTATGTGACTCATTACAATCATAGAGCGATAGCATGTGTTAATAAATCACAAACATCATTAATCAATTCGAAATTTTAAATGTAAGAATAAAAATCTACAGAATCGAACAGTACAATTACAAACAAAAAGCTTTGACAATACCAATTTTGAAAAAACAAACATCATGGTGATACGTCATAACGTGATATATGTTCAAATGGTGATACGTAATGTATGCTCAAATTAACATTTAAAAAATTATTTTGGCTGAAAATGCTATTTTTTTAGTAGAAAACCACATTTGTAATAAATGATGATATGAACTATACGCTTCGACATTTTTATTAAATTGAAATTTCTTTAATTCACTTTTTTTCCAATATGTGTATAAGGAGAATGGCAAAAATAACAAGCATCCAAGAAATAACTTTAATACTTGTTTAATAGATTATAATGTAATCTATTTGTTATTTGCTCTAATTTTTCCTGTATTTATTGAGAGAAATAAATAATTTAAATTTTTTAACAGCTGTATTCAAATTAATATTATGCTAAATTGCTTGTATTGATAAAAATATTTTGAAGTCGTCATAAAGATTTTTTGTGACTAACAATTCCAAAATAATATTTTTAGTACATGACCTATAGTTACGTGTATTATTTATAATCTGATCTGGTCATGTCCTTATCATAAAAGGAACCATGCATCAAAACAATTGACAAATTAATTCGTTAAATAATTCTTATTTTACAACTTCTTTTTTCGTAATTTTTTACGAAAGCAATGTCTTACAGCGTGTTTCCAAGTAAACCGAAGTTTGCTTTTTTCAGTAATATCATCTAGAAAGCTTTCATGTATTTGAGTTTTATAGATATTCACTTTTAGCTTATCAGCAATTCAAAATAATTTTAGAGCAATCGTTAACTTACTGTTTATGTTCAGTAAAAAACTACAAATATTTAATATTTATATATTTATTAAGTTACGTTTCAGCTATATTTATGTATGTATATAAATATTATTTTAAATATTTGTGTGCAGAATTATTTGTCTATGTATGCCCAAAATTATTATTCAAAATAAGAAAGCACAGCAGATAATTATTTAAACCGATGTTGATACGAAAATGCTCATAAATGATTTTCATTTTATCTATTTTCTATTTATGTGACTGAATAATAGTTTATTATAATATAAATAAACATACATTCAACCATTATTTTTTTTAAACTTTTACAATTTCATTTAATCGATACTTTTTCACACTTTATTTCATCGACATTTTTGAAAATGTTCGCACTTTTATGCAATCGATACTTTTAAAATTTTAACAATCAAATACTTTAATATTTTATCTTTGATACTTTTAAGGTCGTCACAATTTTATTAAATCTATATATTTAATAACTTCCACGCTTTTATTTAATCGATAACTTTTTATAGTTTGCACACTTTTATAAAATCAATATTATTCTAGTTCTTATACTTTTTTTTAATCGATTATTGCATACGTGGGACGTTTTTATTTAGTACATTTTCTTATAAGTTCAACAATTTTACGTATTGTAGTTTTAACATTTTTATTTAATTGATATTTCATTTATTGCGTTTTAAAATTCTTAGGTAGGCTCAAAATTCTAGATATTTCAAATGGCAATTTATTAAAAAATACAACAAAAATTTCTATTGGAAAATATTTGAAAGCAAAATTTTGTATGCTTGTTATTTTTGTCAATAGAATATAAAATTCCTAAAGAAAAACCTACATGGGTGTAGATAAGTATAAAAATATTACTTCCTGTTCTTTCACAAAACTTTTAATTAAAATTACTCAATATGATATGTATTTATCACTGTCTTTTATTTAAACACCAGAAAACTTATTCTACTACTCAAGAATAAATGGATAGTACCACTTCCATAAAAATTCATAATTTTCTCAGAGCTCATTTCACTTTGAAGTTCAATTTTTAAAGAAACAAAATTTTATCATTTTGTAAATGATATTTTCATTAGAAGATTCTCTTAAAATCATTTAATAATTAAATACGTAAATAATCATTCCAAATATTGGTCTAAAAGCAATTCAGAGCAAAAATTTCATCTTCAACCATTTGAACAATTGGATTTAGATGAACAATTTTAGAAGTTATAGACTTTCACAAAAACACACAGACAAACACTTTAAAAACAAACATTGTAAGATTTGTCTAAATTTGATATGTTTCTTAGACGATTTCATACCTTCAATCAAACGTGTGGTAAAGCTCTAATACCATTTATAAACATTTAAATTATACGAAATACAGCCTATAGTTAAACGAATGCATCAGCTTGAGCAGTGCTTTTATCTGTTCCAAAACAAGTTGTGAGCCTTTTTTGGCACTATATGAAAATTTACATTGTACTTTAATTTCATTCCAAAGAAATAAAAATTAACAACCATTTATTTAAAATCCTTTTGAAAGTTCTCAGTCCTTAGAAAACCTTTAGAATTATTTCGAGTTCTTTTTAGTTTTAAAAAACAAAATTTTTATTACTGTAACTAGTTGATTAAAAATTTCGACAATTTAATCAAATATGTATTAAATTTCAGAACTTTAATTCTCTGCAGCATCACTATCAAAAGTCTACATAAATGTCAAATTATAATATTTTTATCATTGAAAATAATCAGATTATGCGGTTTGAGATATGAATCATAATTGTATGAATGATGATATGAATCATAGTTAATAATTCCAAAATCTATTTTGAATTTTGCATTTGATGATTCCTCCATATTGAATATGCATGAGCATGGTAATATTATTAATGGAAAGTTTCATACATAAATCCTTTGATTTTTTTTATTTTTAGTTAAAATTGTATTTGGAATATTACCTAAATTGACTAAAGGAATTTTTCTAAAACTCTTGTTTATATAACAATTCTCTTCTTCGAAAGAAAAAAAAATTCAAAAAATATACAATTTTTTACAACGATGACTATCCTGAAGAAATTCTACTTAATATTTCGGAAACATCTGAGCAAATAGTTACCCCATAAGAAAGCTCAGTTTTCTGACGTGAAAAATATAATATTATTTAAACACTTAATGTTATTAAAACGTTACGTTTAGATTGCTAAAATGCCTCATAACATCTTATTTTAAGTACCCCACAATTACAGGATTGTGAACAGGGCTAGGAACAAACAAAGCGCTGCAAAAACTAATGACATTGCTAACACTTTAATCTTTCCCTTTGAATCTTGCAAGCGCCGCTCAAGATTCAAAAGTTTGTCGTGTTCTGGGAAGGGGGTTTGGCGCTGTAAGGAGGTGGTGCCATCGGTAAATTCACATCCGATTCAGCCTCATCGCTACTCAAGTTTAAAGCAGGATTTATGCGACCATTCATTTCCGATTGATATGTCTTGACCATCGCAATTTGGGCGTTGAGGACACTCATCTCACCTTCATGGGGCTCTTGAACCTTAAGGATGTCGTCAGGAATGTTGACCACGCAGTGGAAGATGTCCAGTGCAGGAGGGATATGTCCATTTTCGAAGAGCCATTTGGTGGATCTGGACACTGCCAGCAACGTTGACAAACTTATTAACATCGAGAGGGTTCGGAACGGGAAAAGTTGTTCTCCTGTTTCTTCGAGGAAATATGGGTATTTGATGAGAGCTGGTAGGCCAACTATTTTTTCACCACCAAGAGCTCTTAAGAGAAAGCCTATTATATAGGCGCAGAGGGAACCATATGTATTGCAGAATTTCTTGAAATGGACGACACACACTAGTTGTGGGAATAGCATCACGTATACTAAATCGGAAGATAGGTACCATAAACCATATATGGATTTGACCGTCAAGGCCATGGCGGTTGCCATGAAGCCAACAAAAAGGATGGCGCCTTTCATTACCCATATGATTTCTCGTTCTGAAGCCTGTAATTAAAGTATATTTGTAAAATTAATCGTAAAAATTATCAAAATTAAGATTTGTTCAGATTAACTATCGCGTTACATCTAAAAATCTTAAAATTAAACGTGATTTTAATTTAGCCTAAAATTAAATTTAGTTTAAATTTTTTTTAATAAAAATATCACAAATAATATCTTGTGGTGATATATTTTAAGTGATTCTTATGTATTTCTGACACTTTTATCTTTGGAGTATTAAAAAAATAAATTGATTTAAGGCAAAATTGCTGTATCATAAGTCAATGATTAATTTCGACTTGATAATGAATTAAATAAACTAAAAACCCACAAAATGAGTTCAAAATATTCCGAAACTGAAATACTGACTATTAGGCAAGGTGTTATAAACGAAGATAATACGGAAATGACGTTTTAAAAAAATTTTACTGTTGAAACACGGTTATCTATAATTTGCATTTTTTAAGAACATTTTATCGTTTCAAAACAAAATAAATTAAAAACTACGAGATATACGGGAAAAAAATTCGTTGAATAAAATTCTGCACAGACAAAATATGGCATGACAAAGTTTGCCGAAAAACAATACGTGAAGAAGCAGATACTAATGTAGACCAGATATCACAAGAAAAAAAATCACGTGGATCATAGGACAGGATAACATGCAAGCGGCTTACAATGAAACTGATAGTGTATTAGACATGCAACCATGCATCCATGCTGGTAGAACTACGTACATAGGATAACATGGGATAATTTATAGTGAGAGTTGCTTCTTACATTTTGTCGAATGATTAATTTATAGATGTTTCTGGCAAACATGGAGGCTGCAGATAGAATGGAGGAATCTGAAGATGACATGACGGCCGCTGATACTGCCCCGAGTCCGACGAAGGATACAAAGGCTGGCGTGAGATATTGTAAAACCATGGGCAGCACAAGAGGCGTGTGGTCTGCATCCAAAGGCAAGGGACCGGGGAATGAAGTCAAGTTCCAGGCTGTAAATAAGTAACAGAAGAAAATAATTTTCTGAAAATATACAGTTAGAAAGTTAGTATAGTTAAGACTATTAGAATATGGTGAAAATAATCGTATTTTTGGCTCTATGGGAACACAACTCAGTGATTTTTGCTGAAGAGTCTTGGTAAAGATTTTGGAAAAATTAACAAAAAATATGGTTTTACAATATGTAATAAAATTTCTTAAATGTAGTAAAATTTGGTAATTTCATCATGATACCTTAAAACCTGATACCTAGGTTCAATTTTGTAATTTTCAAATATGTGATAATTTCTGGTAAACCGCTGCCATACGTACGGAAAAAATACCAAATGAATGATTTAAATACCTTATATTTTGGTTTTTAATACAAGAATTAAAGGTTTTTTCAGAAGGAAATGTCATTATGTAAATGTCATAGTTTTATTAGAATTTTTTTCTCCTCGTGATGTATTGTTAATGTAGTGATTATTAAGTTGATTATTGTTAATGTATGATAGATTGAACGTCTTATTTTCACAGTGCAATTATTTTAATTTAGACTAAATAATCAAGAAAATATATAACTGTTGCATTGTAAAGTAAATTCTGTATTTTCAAAGTGAAAACAGCAATGATTATCGTTAATGTAGTATTAATGAAACTTTGTACTTTCAGGTTTTAAATCAGGTTTTAATTAATAATGATACAAAATTCTGCATTTTTAGCTTGAAATTAGAGATACTAATTGTTAATGTACGGTTCATAAAGCTCCATATTTTCAATCAGTAATCCAGTTAATTATTGTTAATTTTCACGATATAAATAATTACATTAGATACTAATAAGAGTAATAATTAACTGCAGCTGAAAATAGCAGATGTTAATAACTTACGTATTGTATAAAATATTCGGGAGGACTTTAATTAAAAATTTCAAAATGTTTGAAGCTATTGGATAAATTTTAATTTTGTATATTAATATGAGATTAAATAACTCAGTCAGATACATTTTTTCCTATTAAATTTCCAACAAAAAAACATTAATTAAAATTTTAAACAAAGTACAAGGCTCAGCAAAACTTTTGTCTTGAAATCAGATGAGTTATTTCACGAAAAATTTCTGAAAGGCATCGAAACTATAAATTACGTATTAACTATAAATTAAGCTATAAATTACGTTACGTAATTATTTAAAATTAATGTAGTTATAAATTAATAAAACGAAAATTCATTTATGCCTTCGAAATTAAAACAATTTGGATGAATATCAAATTAAATATTTAATCAATCTAAATAATACAAGTGACGAGAAGTAAATGTAGAAAAGAAGTTATATACAGGGTGGCCACTCAAAACAGATTTCAGATTTCCCTGATTTTTCCAGGTTTTCCAGTTAAAATCTTAAAATTTCCAGGTTTGTGTTTTTTTCCTTTTTTCTTATAAAGGGTAGGATGTGTACAAGAAAAGTGTCTGTATTATAAAATATCTTATTCAAAATGTCATTTTTTTAAACATATCTTGAAAAAAAAAAATTTTCTTACAAGATATTTTTTTATTATTTTTTAATGTTCTGGTACAACATAAATTTTTTAAAAATTAGGACGTGGAGAAAATTATATGCTTAGCTTGCAGAATATATCGTTTTTATTGAATAATTTTAATTGTTTTTATTGAATTTAATGTGTTACTTTAAGTAGTATTTGCTCAAAGTGTACCTACAAAATGACAAAATCAGAATAACAAATAAAACCTTGGATAAGTATTGTTTAATATATTTTCATTAAGGAAAAGAAAACCGTTTCAGGTGATTATATGTCAATAATTTTTAATAATTGCAGTGGCTCCCAAAAGTGCTCACTCACTTATAACTTATATTGAAATAGGTAATAAAAATTCAATAATCAAAATGAATATTTTACAATGGGTATTTGATAATAAGATGTATAATCTATTCTCAGCAAAACTGCACGCAATATTTTAAAAACATAGCAAAAGTTAATTTTTTAATCAAATAGTAACAAAAATGTTACCCCACGAAAGTCATCGTACATTTAAATGTTTTGGATCTCAGAATTAAAATTATCCTCTATTGCTATTTTTATTTAATTATTTTTCATTTCTTTATTAGCAATTTAGTATCAAACCTATAATAGCAAAATTATATTTTAATTTTTGCTTGTTAACTCCGTAATATTTTATTTTATCATTTAAAAATGATTTGTAGTCGTAATAAAATAGACCAAATTTGATTATTTGTCTTCCTAAGAGGTAAATAAGTAATGAATATGTTAAATTAGTTTACTGTATTCAATTGAACTGTGCAATATGTGATAAAATGCTTAAACGAAGGTCTTCAAATCAGAGATCAAAATTATAAATTTTGTGGAAAAATTCATAAATTTGCAATTGAGTGTTGTAAAAGTTTCTGTAAAAATTTTTAAAAAATATTCTGCGCGAATTTCATCTGACAAAAAAAAAAAAACTAGTTGCACTTATTTTCAACCTTTAAAAGCTATTGTAGATGCTAAAGGAAACTCCACTAAATGTTAATTTAACGAAAAATTTGATTACTAATAGACTGAGTTTTTTCTTTAAAAGTGTATGATGACTTTTGCGGGATAAAGTTTTTGTCACATTTTGATGATTGATTCCTTAAAAATAAACTTTTCCTTTGTTTTTAAAATATGTTTTTAAAATATTTCATATTGTCATTTAAAATATTTCAGTTTTGTTAAGATTAGAACACATTTTTTATCATTAAATATACATTCTGAAACATTCATTTTAATTAATGAATAATCTTATTTCATTGAAAGTCATAAGTGTATCAACACTTTTGTGAATCACTGTAATTACANTGTTCCCATAACAAATCAAAACCTCTGGGTGTACTGGATTGGAGATCGATCGTTCTCTGATTCAGGTCAAAATTACGATCTGTGGATGAATGAATGGATGCATGAATGGGTCCGCCCTATAAACGGGTGTGGAGCATGGTGTGGCAGAAGTCGAATTCTTGGCCATAGATGGCGCCACTGGAAAACAAGAACAATCGCACCCCCTCTGCCCAAACAGGCATACGTCAACAACAACAATACAAGAATTAAAGGTTTTTCAGCGGAAATGTCGTTATGTAAATGTCATAGTTTTACTAGAATTTTTTTTTCCGTGTGATGCGTTGTTAATGTAATGATTATTAAGTTGATCATTGTTAATGTATGATAGATTGAACGTTTTATTTTCACAGTGTAATTATTTTAATTTAGACTTTAAATAATCAGGAAAATATATAATTGTTACATTGTAAAGTAAATTCTGTATTTTCAAAGTGAAAACAGCAATGACTGATTATTGCTAATGTAGTATTAATGAAACTTTGTTCTTTCAGGTTTTAAATAATAATTATACAAAATTATACATTTTTAGCTTGAAATTAGAGATACTAATTGTTAATGTACGGTTCATAAAGCTCCATATTTTCAACCAGTAAATCAGTTAAGTATTGTTAATTTTCACGATATAAATAATTACATTAGATACTAATGAAAATAATAAATTAGATATATAAAATGCTGCTAAAAATAGCAGATGTTTATAACTTACGTATTGTATAAAATATTCGAGAGGATTTTAATGAAAAATTTTTCAAAATGTTTGAAGCTATTGATTAAATTTTAATTTTGTATATTATATAGCAGATGTTTATAACTTACGTATTGTATAAAATATTCGAGAGGATTTTAATGAAAATTTTTTCAAAATGTTTGAAGCTATTGATTAAATTTTAATTTTGTATATTATTATGAGATTAATGGGAAAAAATGTATCTGACTGAGTTATTTAAATTTCCAACTAAAAAACATTAATTAAGATTTTAAACAAAGTACAAGGCGCAACAAAACGTTTTTATTGAAATCAGAATAATGTGCTATTTCTCGAAAAATATCTAAAAGGTATCGAAACTATAAATTACTTATTAACTATAAATTAAGCTATAAATTATGTTACGTAATTATTTAAAATTATAATAATTATAAATTAATAAAGCGAAAATTCGTTTATGCCTTCAAAATTAACTAATTTGGATGAATATTATAAATTAAATATTAAATCAATATAAATAATACAAGTGACGAGAAGTAAATGTAGAAAAGAAGTTATATAAGACAGACAAATACAAACTATTCTGTAAAAAATTCCAGATCAAATTACGGTAAAAAGCACTGGCACTCAGGGTGCCGGTACTATTTACCGTAATTTATCATGGCAATAACTTTTTACCGTAATCCATTTTTATTGGAACATGTTAAGAATCAACAATCTGATGTACCGTAATTTCTTCAATAATAATTACTGTAAAGACTACTGAAAATCACTAAATCACTCGAATTAAATAAATATTATGTTAATGCCATTTTACGTAAAACGTGGGCGTTACGGTTAAATGGATTTTACGGACGATGTGCCTATAGTGCCGGTACTTTATACCGTAATATGATACGGTATTTTTCATAGTGTAATGAATAAGATTTAATTTGATAAGTTATTTTAAATTTCTTGAGTTAACACAAGAATATTAGTTACCTGTTGCTTTAGCTACAGCTCCAATGATCATGGGTGGAACGGCCATTATTAGACACCCTACCGCTGCAACATAGGATAAGAGCTGAGCACGGAAGGCAGTCTTTGATGATAACACTCTTTGGAAATATACCTGAAAAGTTACGAAAAAAGTAACATGGGAATTAGAGTACAAATGATAAGGAAGGATAATATGTTTAGATGTTTAACGGATTTTAAATGAAAGTAAAATATAGAGTTAACACTCTTTAGAAATATGCCTGAAAATGTACAAAAAAGTAACATGGGAATTAGAGTGTAAATGATAGAAAACGATAATATATTTGAATGTTAAACTTACTTGAATGAAAATAAAGTATGAAGATAAGTTATCTTTAGAACATATTTCAATAGTTACAAAAGATAAACATGGGAATTAAAGGGCAAATGATAATAAATTATATCATATTTGGATGCTAAACGTATTTTAATGAAACTAAAATATAAAGATAACACTCCTTGAGATATATCTTAAAAGTTACAGAAGATAAATATGAGAATTAAAGGGCAAATGATGAAAAAATAATTAAATACTTGATTGTTTAACGTGTTTTAAATGAAAATTACAATATAAAGATAACCCTCTTTAGAAATATGCCTGGAAATTTACAAAAAAGTAACATGGGAATTAGAGGGTACATCATAAAAAACGATAATATATTTGAATGTTAAACTTACTTGAATGAAAATAAAATATGAAAATAAGTTATCTTTAGAATATATTTCAATAGTTACAAAAGATAAACATGGGAATTAAAGGGCAAATGGTGAAAAAAATGATAATTATTTGATTTTTAACGCATTTTAATGAAAATTAAAACCGAAAGATAAAACTCTTTAGCCCGAAAAGTTATAAAAAAGTAACATGGGAATTGGAGTGCACATGATAAGAAACGATAATATATTTGGATGTTAAGCTTATTTTAATGAAAATAAAATATAAAGATAAGTTATCTTTAGAATATATTTCAATAGTTACAAACGATAAACATGGGAATTAAAAGGCAAATGTTAATAAAATGATAATTATTTGATTTTTAACGTATTTTAATGAAAATTAAAACCTAAAGATAAAACTCTTTAGAAATATGCCTGAAAAATTGTAAAAAAGTAACATGGGAATTGGAGTGCACATGATAAAAAACGATAATGTATTTGGATGTTAAAAGCAACTTATAGGAAATATTAAAGTACAAAGAGTATTTCGTACTGTGCGTGATTGATATTTTTACATTGCATTTCAAAAATGATATAAAAAAGTATACACATTAGAAGAAACAAATTAGTATCAAGGGAGAAAAAAAAAGACATCAAAATCGCTCGTAGCACTACGAATTAAAGCGGGGACTGAATATTCCAAAACCTGTTTGATTAAAGGAATGAAATAATTATTCTAAAAGCTCTATCAAGTTTCATTCCTGCTTTTTTCCTGCCCATGACGCTTCATTAAATAAAATTCAAACTAGGATAAAAAATAAGAAAACTGTTGTAACCTAACAGATAGAAACTGAAACAGGACTGATGATATAGTTTTATTTCTGTTGTCTGAGATTTGAAGGGTCTGGTTCACTAATAAACGTTATTCAAATTTACTTTTACTGAGATTTGAAGGTGGTTTTAATAAACTTTATTCAAATTTACGTTTACTTTTACTGAGATTTGAAGGTAGTTCTAATAAACGTTATTCAAATTTTCTTTTACTGAGATTTGAAGGTAGTTCTAATAAACGTTATTCAAATTTACTTTTACTTTTACTGAGATTTGAAGGTAGTTCTAATAAACGTTATTCAAATTTACTTTATTTCCTTAGACCAATCAAAAGAATTTTGACGTTTTTTTTTGTCCAGTCTACCTCACTGGTGATTCAGCAGATTTCCGTTGTATTTTTTCCCCCCTGATTTAAATATTAATTTGAGATCTCTAACGTGTATACTTTTTTTTGGTTTTGTCTTTGTGAAATATTTTAAAAATAATCAAATCAAGAAAAAATGAACTAAAAATTGTGAAAATATTTAAATCAAGAACGGTAATTACGTAAATTTAGGAGACATTGTTTCTTTTAAAATAAATTACTTTATTTGAAAAAGATTATAACCTAGGCGTGATTACAGAAGATGCTATTGTTTCGGGGAAAAATAAAAATTTTATGAGATTATTACTTTAATGTTACAACTCGTAAAACAAATATTAAACCGAGATTAGGGAAATCAGTAAATATTAACCAATCTTTTCTATTCATTTGTTTTTACCTTTATATACACCCAATTATACATAAATATGTTAAGAATATATAAATGTGCATCCTAGTATTTTTTAAACACTTATATCAATGTAATTTGAGCAAGGTTATTCATCCCCTTAAGAAAATTTCGTTTCTGAGTTTGTAGTATATGTTCTTAATGTATCTTGTACTTGAAGCAAAATTACATCTTTAGCTTAAAAATTTCATATCATTTGAGAACTCAAACAAACATTCAATTAAGTGACTAACAACTTTTAGAACTTTTACAATATTTAATTTGCTTTTTGAAATTTTGCCATTTTTTAATATGTTTTATAAGATTGACATACAGATGGTGCTAAAAAAGCATTTTTGAGCATATGAAGTACAAAAATATCCGTTTGTATAATGCTGCGCAACAATATTTTAATGTTTTTGAACTTTTACAGAATATTTCGTTTGTCGAGGAAAGCTGTTTTGAATCTTTTATACTAGAACTTTTGGTACTAGGATTCTGAACTTTGAACATCTAACAATGTTTAACATCAAGAACAATTTTAGCCCCCATCCGTAATATCGCTTAAAAGTTTTAATTACTTCATTCAGGAGGAACGTTTAAAAAACGATTTTTTTACACTAGTTTGACATTACATTAGCCATTGCTATAAATAAAATTGCAAACGATTCTGTTTATGATTTTATCTCATGTTCTTTTTCTTAATTCATGTTCTTTTCTTTAATTATTTTGTGGATTGGTACTACATCACTTAGAATTTCTAAAGTTACCTGAAAGGTAGTGTTTATTTTGTTTACAGTTTTGTTTTTAAAATGTGTTCCTGGGAAAGAAATAAGTTGAAATTTATTTTAAAGACCATCTGAATGCTACGACAAAATGGTACAAAATAAAATAATTAATTCTTTTTTCAAATAAATTAAAAAAAACAACAGCTATTCTATGGATCTGTACGAAAAAGTGATAAATAAAATATTGCTTGACCCTCTTATAAAAATCGAGATCACGTAGCCCCGGCCAATTTTCAAGTAGTTTGGTGAAGCTTATCATAAAGTATGTTACAAGAATTTCTAACAAACTGTTTAAAGAAAGTGGATGAAAAGTAGATGGTTTGCGAATAGCAATGATAACTTTAAATAAGCCATCGACTTTTGATCTACTTTCTATGAAATTTTTATAAGAAATTCTTGCAACACAAATTTTTATAAAAAAAATTCTTACAACTTTTATGATAAACTTAATATAAAATTAACATAATACCTGGAAAATTAATCCAGACAATATATTTATATTTTATTTTAATAAGAGACACATACAATATTTTATTTATTACTTTTTCATGCAGACTCATAATTGTTTCTTAATTTTTCAAATTATTCAACTCAAATTAATAATAATTCAAAAATTAATAGTAATGCAAGTTAATAATTCGAATGATGAGTCATTTAATTTCATGATCCTTTAATTTAGAATCATGAATAAAATATACACTGGTGGACAAAATTAAGAGATGGAAGACATTTTCCCAAATATCTCAAAAAATACTGAATATAAATAAAAAAAATTTGGTATGGATATAGCTTATTCCATGATAATAAAGTATGCAAAACAAGAATGAAAGTGCCATTCATTGGCAAGACCTATATCCCATAAGTCCAATGTAGTCTGAACTTAAGGATAAAAGATGACAATAAAAGTGAGGANTGAAATTTGGTATGGATATAGCTTATTCCATGATAATAAAGTATGCAAAACAAGAATGAAAGTGCCATTCATTGGCAAGACCTGTATCCCATAAATCCAATGTAGTCTGAACTTAAGGATAAAAGATGACAATAAAAGTGAGGCTTGTACAGTGTGCGTTGCCTCTACTATGGTATATGGTCACCCCTGACAGACAGACAGCATGCACAACGAGTATGCATGCAGTTAATAAGGGAGTTAAGGAGGACTTGTGGAAGACTCTCCCATTCTTCCACCAGAGCAATTTTTAACTCCAGAATGGTTATGGGGGGAGGTTGGCGCATCGCAATAGCTCTCCCAAGAGCATCCCAAGCATATTCAATAGGATTCAGGGGATTTGGCTGGCCAATCCATTCGTTGAATATCCTCGCTTTCCAGATACTCATCAACCATGAGAGCCCTATGTGGTCGCGCATTGTCGTCCATAAATATGAACTCAGGGCCAACAGCGCCCCTGAAAAGACGCACTTAGGGCTGTAGGACCTGTACCTCTGGGCATTCACGGAACCATTGTCAAACACATGGTGCGGTGTGCGGGTATTTTGCATGTGCGAATGAATGTGCGAAAATGTTTCCCATCTCCTTATTTTGTCCACCAAATTTTGGATTGATTTATGCACAAACTATTTCAGAACCATTGGGGCCAAATTAAATAATAAACAATGTTAATAGTCCGTACTTGCCACGGAATTCCACCTAAAATAAGTAGCAATCCATAATCTAGCCATAATCCGAAGTACATTGGATCCAGTTCTCCAACCCAATCATTGTCCGCCAAAGATAAGCTTCCTACTGCTTCGTTGGTAATACAGAAGGGAATGCAAAGCCACTGTAATTCAATAAAACCCATGCATTAGAGAAAAAAAATGAGGTATTATGCAAATAACCTATTGATAATATTTCAGTGAGTAAAAGAAACAAGTCTGCAATTTTTTTCTAAAACTCACAGATGTAGCAAAGATTTACTACGTACTAGATAAAAGAAAAAGTTGATGAAAATTATTTTTTGGTAAAACTTTTTTTTTCATTTAATAAAAATAGCAGGCATAGATTTGATTTTTCTATTAGAAGCAAAGTTAAATAATAAAGAGTATTAATGACCAATATGAATTTTTTAAAGAGATAGTTGTTGTTGTTGTTGACGCATGCCTGCTTAGGCAGAGAGTGGGTGCGATTATTCTTGTTTTTCAGTGGCGCCATCTATGGTCAAGAATTCGACTTCTGCCACACCAGGTAAATAACGTCGTTGAAAACATTTCTTTAAAGAGCATGGAGTCGAAAATACGAAGAATGAGTGCTCCAATGATCTCTATTTCAGAAAATGAAGTAAGAGACGTAAAAGATAATAGACTGAATAACAGGTAATGGTACAAGACAAAATGAAGTAAACATAAGGAATTTTTTTTAAATTGTCTACCATAATGGATTTCTTATGCTTGAGGTTCGAAGTAAATTGGTTTGAATTAAAAACCACTCAAAATGAAAGAAAATATTGGCTTTCAACTAATGCGCAAAGAAGATTTGCAAATAAACAAGTTTAAAAAGTTGTGGTAATATTTTGACACGTTTTATCTGCAGCTATTTTTTTCAAAACTTTATTTACTGCCTCAGAGCTTCCGAGGTAGTAATTGTCATTTGTATATTCTCAATCACTTGTGCTGTAACAAAAGACGTTTGTGCCACTTTCTATTCTTCTTCTATTGGCATGACAGCCCTTCGTGGGTCAGAGCCTTCCCTAGAACCTTCCTCCATTCTGATCTTTTTTTTGCGATTCTTCTCAGTTAGTAACTCTATTCTATTCTATTATATTACTATTTAAAGATTGTGCCTGCACTTATCGGGGAGAGAGAACTCCCTATATTGTTTAAATAAACTCTGTTCCTTAGTTCTTTAACCTTCTAGAACTTTTTCAAAATCCATAAAAAATTGCGAAATTATATTATTAATTAATATTTTTTATTGGCTGAAATTGCTTCAAGTATTAATAATAAATTGTTTAAAATTATTTGGGTAAGATGTGCGTATAAAGGTCATTTTTTAACTAAATCTATTGTCTTTATATACATATATACAGTGTTTAGAAGATGCAATTTTTTGCTTTATAATTGTTTAGCAAAAAGTACATTAACTAAACTAGTTGTATTAATTAGATTGTAATTCTCTAAAATAATCACACTCAAAGTAATTTAAATATTTTTCGAGAGATGTCTAAGACAAGATAAAAGAAATCAGTTGTTTAGTTCAATATGTGTTTTATGTCTTTCAAGAAATTTGAATCAGCTGCACTTGTCTCAGTGTTATCAGCCTGTTGATAAAATAATTGAATTCAATTTAATTCTAAGCAATGTATTTTCTTTATAAAACATTCAAATCAATTCAGCCTGCTGATAAAAATCCAACACAATTTAACTGCATTATCAAACATTCGAATCAATTCTGACTCTTGGCAAAAATTTCCAATGAACTAGCAATAATATCGTTCACAAACTTTTATTTCAACACTTTGTAAGTATTTGAATACTTTTAGGCTCTTTTAGTACACATGACATAATTAATTTGGTACAGTACATTCTTCAATAATTTATTTTGTTAAAAAAGTAACATGTATTAAAAGAGCATATCCATTGCGACCCGACGATAATTTTACTTACCAGACCAGCAAATATACAAAACAGTTGAATGACATCAGTATATGCTACAGAATACAGACCACCAAACAAAGTATAAAAGAGTGCAATGCAAGCAGATACTATGATGGAGGTATTGTTATCCAGATCAATAATAACACTAACTGTGGCACCTGTAAGAATGCAAAAAGTATAATTATTACAGAATGAACTACTATTACTAATAATAATTATTATAAATCAGGCAGTTACATAAACATTTAAGAATGTATTTCATTTAATTTACATCAAATTATCATTTGGTAAATCATTTTAATGTTCAGAAAATAATTGTCTTACACAATGTATTATAAATAAATCTATAAAAGAGAACCCAAGTCAAAATTCTTGATGGTTCCATCAAAACTTTTTGATGGTTTATGTTGGTTTCAGTGCTGCTCATGATGGTACAACATCTTTTGATGGTCAACATCATTCTACATTTTCCATTATGCGTTCATGGTTTTTGATATGCCAGCAGGATGGAAAATGCTACTTTAATACTATGATGGTTAACCATCAAGAAAAGTTTGATTCTCATGAGCCAACAATTCATGATGATCCGTAATAGTTCAACTATACGTTTCCATGATGGTTTCATGGGAAGTCTTGTCAGTTCTCACGAATATACCATCAAAATAATGTTTTTTTTATGTTGGCCCATCGAAAATCAGTCCGAATTACTACATTGGAGTGATGGTGGTTCATAATCGGTCCGACATTTGATTTCTAAAGAAATTATGATGAAAATTTCTGATGAACATGAACAAACCATCAAAACAAGTTGCTATTTTTATGTTGAACCTTCATAAATCAGTCCAAATTCCTAATTTGGGGGGATGGTTACTTATGTTGGTTATCACCAAAAATATAATGGTTCATGATGGAATTATTGATGATTATCGTCAAGATTATGTTGGTCCATCAACGAAAAACCATCAAAAATTTTAATTAGGAAAAAGACGAATTTGTGTGGCTGTCTCTCTAATAAATACAGAACAGTTTGTGAAATTTGGACAGTGGGTGAAGGGGCAATTTTAGCCCCCGATTCTAAAATATGAGACGTGAAGAGTTGATTCCAAATTATTAAAATTAAATAAAAACATTTTACACCCTCATAAGCAACTTAGACACGTTTTGTTTGTCCTGCAATATAGGAAAATTCTAAATACACACCGAAGAGCCATTACATTATGACCACCCTCCATCTATAACAATGGGCTCGTCCAGGCTTTCATGGTCTCTCGTTTTCATGGGGTACATTAGGACCCATAATCCTCATAGAACATAGTTACAGGTTCACCCATTCATGGCAACAGTTTTTCCTGGGGGGGTATGGTATTTACCAACAGGATAATGCCCCATGTCATAAGGGTCGAATCGTCATGGATTGGTTCAAGGAACATTCCAGTGACTTTCAAGTCATGTCTTAGCCCCCAAATTCACTTGACCTTAATCCAATAGAGCGTTTGTGGTCCTACTTGGAAAACCAAATTCGTGCTGCCACGCTACCCACTCGCAATGTGAAGGAATTGCAAGACCAGTTGGTGAGCGCTTGGTACCAGATACCTCAGACTACCTATCAGCACCTTATGGAATCAATGCCTGGCGGGCGCTAGCAGTTTTGAGAGCTAAAGGCGGTTTCACGTGTTATTAGCAGGGTGGTCATAAAATGTAATGGCTCTTCGGTGTATATAACGCTGAATACAGACATAAAGTGGGAAAAAAACTTATGTTTGCATTGCCTCTTCAATGCATATAAATATTTAATATTCAGTATAATTTTTATGCAAATTATTAAAAATAATCGTTTTTATAACCGGCCTAAATAATTCTGTATAATTTTGCTGACCGTAGATGAATGTGGAATTATACGAAAAGCCACAGACGTTAAACGTTTGATAAATAAAACAAAAAAAATACTTTTCTGTAGAAACTCTAATGGACAGTATAATACAATTGATAAGATCGAAAACTTGGTTGTAAACCTCTTGCAGATATTTCATCTTGCAAATTTTTCTGCTTTGCAGTTACTCACTGGCACAATTTAGTGCACTTAAATTTCTTAAAACACGCAATTCATCAAAAGTCTAATTTATTTAGAACCAAGTTAATTCATTGTGATTCCGACATGGAGTTAAATTGAATTGCAACAAAAAAACTATAACAAAAAAACTATATTAAGTACTACCACTTAGTGATTACTTTAAGCAAGGCGGATGTTATCCGTTTTATCTTATTTGTTATTGAACTTTTTAGTTATTGAACTTAGAATATAGCTCATGGATATCTTAAAAACAAAATCTTCCATAAATTATTAAGGCATGTCATGTACTTGATGCCAAAATACCTGAAGGAAAATGCTTGAAGCCAACATACCTAAAGCAGCCAAGATGGCCGCTGACCAGAAGACCTCCCCGCAAAGTGCTGGCATGAAAAGTAAACCTCCCATTCTGCTTCCGAACAAATCTTGAAACGGATCCAACATAGTTACATATCCTTCCTCTCTCATCTTGTTGGCAAAGAACAAGCCCCCTGAGAACATAACACATACACATTATACATCATATTTCAGAACTTTTCATAAAATTTGAAATATTTGAAAGTGAAAAATGATTCAAATGTTAAAATAATATTTTATGAATCAGCAACTGAGAAATCAAAAATATTATGCAACAGCAAGATTGCATAGCTGTCAGTTCTAAGTTTAGGACATTGTTTGCTTTTGTAATTTATGATACTGATGTGTTTAGGAAGAAAAAAAATTGTTGCTTACCTAAAACAAGTGAGAGAGCATATCCAAATGGTGCTTGGCACCACCATATACCATTGCTATATATTGCCTCAGCAGTTCCGTTTATGTATCCTCCGCCTACCCAGGTTGCTAAATATTTAAAAAAGAAACACAATCAGAAACAATTTGATGCAATTGCTTTTTTTTAAAAATGTTAATCATAAGGAAATATGAACAAGTCTAATTTAAGATGGAATTGCAGACATTTTTTCAACGTACATAAAAGATCTGTTACATAAAGTTTTTTTTTATTTTTTAAAAGAAAAACATGTTTTCCGTAAATTTTTTTTTACATATATCTACAATCTACATAAATGAGATTTTCCTTGACACCTAGTTCTTTTCCTTGATTATAAATATAGATATGTTATAACTTATGAAGCGGTGATCACAGATGGTATATTTTTGAAACCACCATTAAATACTCTTACTACCAGTTTTCTTCTTATAAAATTTTTACTGGGAAGAATAGAAAAACGTGATATAAGTTATTTACATTAAAATCATGATATATGCTTAAATTATCATAAATATTTTCGCAACTTTTTTTTACTTTACTCTATAAATCTGCACCACATGTTCTGGTCGGAAATATCTTGCAAAAATGAAGAATACTGATGGTTAATCACAATGGTTAAGTAGCTATTTCTGGGTTTAAGACATTTGAAATTATATTTACTGAGTATCCTTTCACTGTGTCCAGTGTGCAAAAGAATAAGTGAAATACACTGCTATGTCACAGATGGTATATTTCTGCGACCACCATTAAATGCTCTTACTGCCAGTTTTCTTCTTATAAAATTTTTACTGGGTAAATAGAAACATGTGATATAAGTTATTTACATTGAAATCACGATATATGCTTAAATTATCATAAGTATTTTCATCACTTTTTTTACTTTACTCTATAAAATCTGCACATCACATGTTCTGGTCTGAAGTATCTTGCAAAAATTAAGAATAATGATGGTTAATCACCGTAGTTAAGTAGCCATTTCTGGGATTAAGCCATTTGAAATTATATCTACTGAGTATCCTTTCACTGTGTCCAGTGTGCAAAAGAATAAGAGAAAAACACTGAATAACTTTGAATCTAATAATTGAAATTTCTCCCGCTAGGCCTCCATCTTAATAGTTCGAAAGGCTAACTTCAATTGTGCTAATTAATTAATGCAGACGATATTTATGAAAGACGATATAGAAAATATTACGAAATAAGACACAATAATGTACTTTAATCTGAATAAACGTAAATTTTTCGTCGAATTCAGATTTCGGAATAGACGCAATCTATAAAATATGGTTTCACTAGTTTGGTCATTAAAGAGGTGCGAAGTTCGAACTCCTTAATGTTAATTTTACTTTTTTCGTATTTCGCCATAATTGTAAAAATTTTAGGCGTATCAAAAGAGCTTTTGAACTCGAATGTAAAATTTGTTTACCTAAAATAATTCTATGCAAAAAATACTTTTTAATAATTATTTATTATTTTCAATTATTTCATTTACTGTGTGAAAAGGTTTTGAATTTTAAGATATACAAATTCTTTCACCATTTTAAGGACTAAAATTTAATGTGACATATTTTAAAATTTGATTAAAATTGCATGAATAGTACCTGAGAGAAATGAGTTTTAATTGATATCTAATGGGACCATATTTCCCAGATTGTGGGTATCTTGGAGATCAGAAATCCAAAACAGTCGGGAAAAAAATTTATGTTTATTCAGAGAAAAAAAATACGGTTATCTGTATGTGATTTAGTAACTTAAAATATTGTCTGCACTAATTAATTATCATATAACCTCTTGAACCATTAAGATTGAGTCCTAAACGTGAAGATCCAATCATCAGATCAAAAGTTATTCAGGGTGAACTGTTTATTTTTTTGAATAATTTACATCAAAGAGTATAAAACAACACCGCCTTATGTATATTCGCAATGCACATGAAATTTCTCTACAAATAAAACTGAAGAGTGGTTCTCACAATATCACAAAAGAATACAGATAGGAAAAAAGAATATTTATTCCCTTCGGAATTCGAACCTTTACTGACTTGCATTATAATGTACCTCAATGTTTAATGTGCTCTTCAATGATGTTTAACACGTTGAAAGCCACGCTAATTTTTCATGGCTTGTTCGTCTGGCCACACGGTAAATAACTGCAAACTAAATTCGCAAATATAGACAGATTTTGCTAGTTTATAAAAGTTTAGCATGACATATCTGAAAAAAGTGGTGAATATATATGCCTACGAATTGTTTAAAAATAGTGGTGGATAAAAATCTACTAAATTGAATTTATTAAACCAAGAATCACAATAATTAAGTAAATTTTGAATAAATTTTCTGCAATTCCATAAAAAATTTTTATAATTCTATATCAAGTTATACGCTGTCAGCCAGCTGTTTTCGCGGCCTATGTGAAAGGTCAGTGTCAGCAAGCGTGACAGACGCAGCCTAAATGTAATTTCAGTGTCAGCCACCGGTGGTTGACGCAGCTTCCAGTGTCAGCCACCGGTGGTTGACGCAGCCTAAATGTAATTCCTGTGTCAGCCGCCGGTGGTTGACGCTGCCTAAATGTAATTTCAGTGTCAGCCACCGATGGCTGACGCGGTGCTCAACCTGTAAAGGACTTAAGTCTACAACAGCCATTGTAATTTGAAATTGATTTCAATTAATAAAGCAATAAAAATGTGTTTTTATTACCTGTCATGGTGAATATTCCAACGAACATTCCTATATTCCGACCCGCTAACATCACTTCTTCACTCTCTTCTAGATCACTGTCACTGTTGGGACTTCTCTTTTTCTTGCCAGCCCATATGCCCACTACTAAGATGATGACGTAGAAGAAGACCACAGATATTACACCAGCTATGTTGGTCGTCATTTTGGCTTCTCTCTTTTTCAACTAATTTCTTTTTCTGTTAATAGAGAAAGAAATACATTTTAAATAACCACTTCCGTCATTATAAATGGAAATATATATTATCAATTGAAGACTCTTTTGTATAGCATCAACTCTATTAAGTCTCATGCATTTGTGAAAAATGATATGGTTAAATTTGTTCTTTGCCAGATAAGCATGAAACAAAGACGACAATAGCGTAAAGGAGCCTCAAAGTCACCAATTTTAACTAAAATTTTAAAAGTGCTTTTAAAAGATGTGGTTAATTTTATTCTGTGTCTGATTAGCATAAAATTAAAACAGTAATACAGTAAATGAGCCTCAAATTCCCTAATTTTTACTAAGATTTTAAAAATGGTTTTAAGAGATATGATTAATTTCATTCTGTGTCAGATTAGCATACAATAAAAGCTAATAAAATAAAATAATAGGGGCCTCAAAATCACCAATATTCACTAAAATTTCAAAAATGCCTTTAAAAGATATGGTTAATTTCATTCTGTGTCAGATTAGCATAAAATAAAAACTAATAAAATAAAATAATAGGAGCCTCAAAATCACCAATTTTCACTAAGATTTTGAAAAGTGTCTTTAAAAGATATGCTTAATTTTATTGTGTGTCAGATTAGCATAAAATAAAAACTAATAAAATAAAATAATAGGAGCCTGAAAGTCACCAATTTTTACTAAGATTTTAAAAGTGTCTTTAAAAGATATGGTTAATTTCATTCTGTGTCAGATTAGCATAAAATAAAAACTAATAAAATAAAATAATAGGAGCCTCAAAGTCACCAATTTTCACTAAAATTTTAAAAGTGCTCTTAAAAGATGTGGTTAATTTTATTCTTTGTCTGATTAGCATAAAATTAAAACAGTAATACCGTAACGGAGCCTCAAAGTCACCAATTTTCACTAAGATTTTAAAAGGGTCTTTAAAAGATATGGTTAATTTTATTCTGTGTCAGATTAACATAAAATAAAAACTAATGAAATAAAATAATAGGAGCCTCAAATTCACCAATAGTCACTAAGATTTTGAAAGTGTCTTTAAAAGATATGGTTAATTTTATTCTACGGCAGGTGTCCCTATAGTAAAGCTTTCAGCGCCAAAGTTGCCAATTTCCGTACTGACTTCAAATGAAAAATAATATGGTTAATTTTATTCTAGGGCAGGTTTGCCTAAGGTAAAACACTCAATGTTTAGCTTATAGGAGAGTCTAAATCATCAATTTCCATACAAATTTCACACGAAAAGCAATGAAGTTAAATTTATTTTTTGGTAGGTTTGCCTATGTAAAACATTCAATATTTAACCTAAATGAATCTCAAAGTCCTTTCTGCATAGGGAAATAATGATTAAACATTTGTGGAAATTGATGGACAACTAGTGAGTTCCTGTATATTAAAACATAAACCATATGGACAAGGTATTCCTTACGAGTCTTAAAATGCCTGAGTTGACCATTATTGTGATGTGAGTTTGAAAGTCATAAGCTCTTCGCCAAAAAACTTTCAATAGGTTTAAATTTAAATTGTTAAGCAAATGGGGCCAAATAGATTTCTTTTAAATGAATAATTTTGCCGATTTTATAAATCCATCTATGACTTACAAAATATTTAATGTATATGGATATCCAAAAGTAATGCATATGGAAATAAGTACAATGAGTTTACACTTCTATTGCTGCAATTTAAAGTCCTTGTATAGGTTTTATTTTATAAACATTTCATTCTGCAATTTAGTGTTTTTTTACTAGACATACTATTTCTAGAAACTACTATAATAATTTTAGTTTTCCTTTCGTTCACAGTAAGTGAAAAAAAAAACTTCATGTCAGCACAATAGTTGTATTGCAAATACGTATTAGTATTATTTGTGATAAAAAAAATAGATAATGCTCAAGATAAGTTTTCAGGAAAGAATTATTGATTTTTTCTTCAATCCGAATGTTGAGAATCAAGCGTAACTCAAACAACTACCCATGTATTGCTTGGGAATATAATATTTACTTTTATATCCATCCTTCTGATGAAAAAATATTACTAGTTGGGAGAATTAAAGTGTTCTACTGAGATTTCAAATATTGGATAGAAGTACAAATCACGCACCAAACATATTTTTCAAATATATCGTAAGAACTTTAGATATGTTTCTTTAAGGTTGATTTATGTATTTTGATGAATTTGGTAAAGAAAAATTAAAGAAGATTTGTAGAAAATATTTTATTGGTCACTATTTAATGTTTTATTTTATTTGATTTATTATATTTTATTGAATACTATAACTCAAGGTTTTAATTGTTGTTCCTCAATAAAAACTGTTCTTTAAATGAGATGTTATTTTCACATTCAAGCTCGAAATTCAGAAAAAGTTTTGCCATTTTGACGAAACTATTTCCTGGGAAATGTTCTGAGGAAAGATAGTCAAAGTGGGAAAATGTCTTTCCTCGCAGATTGAATTTCGCTAAAAGCAGTAAGCAAAGGCTTTGCACATTGACTGACGCAATCAATTGGAAAATACAAAATAAATTAAAAGCAATATCGGTGAATGAATTCTCAATTATAATCAGGACTCGAAGCCCAAAACCTGCTCGACTAACGAGGTAACTAATGTTGCAAACGATACTAAATAATACAATCCACCTTGCAGATTGAATGCTAAAGAATGAGATTTGTCTAAGAATGAGATTTAATACCAAATAAATAACAACGATTTAAGGCACACAACTCATTTATTATAGATAAAACATAGTGACAAGAGCTTAATGGCAAGTACCAAACATAAAAATTCCATGAAAAAAAATAAATAAATAAAAAAGCGATGCTATTCTCTTTTTCTCAAGAGCATTCTAAACATTACCAGGGTGGCCGGTGGTATCACAATCTACAACTAATCCTTCACCCTTCCGTCATACCGTGTAAAAGATTTTTGTTGTTGTTGTTGTTGGTTTACGTCGCACTAGATCTGCACAATGGGCTATTGGCGACGGTCTGGGAAACATCCCTGAGTATGATCCGAAGACATTCCATCACAATTTTGATCCTCTGCAGAGGGGAGGGCACCTCCGCTTCTGTAGCCTGACGACCTGCACGTGATGTCGAGCACTTTAAGGTAGAGCAGTTTAATGAGGACTGATACCACACACCCTCGGGCTCCTTGCCGTCTGATCAAAGTGGTCACCCACCCGCATACTGATCGCAGTCAGTGACTTATGTGTTCTGTTGGGAACCGTGTCTTGACGGTCAGTCCACTGCGAGACACGATTTCTTAAAATCTCATAAAAAATGTATCAGAACCAGGGCATGCATCGAAATGACACATGAGTAAGGAAGCTTTTCGTTAAGGAAATATAACGCTCACATTTCGTCAAAAATCGTGTGATTTTGTGATGAAATAAATATCATAAGTAACGAAATACATGTTAAAAATGAGAGTCTCATAAATTCATTTAAAAGCAGAAACTATAACATGCAAACTTTTAGCTAAATAACTTAAAAATTAAGAAGAATTAGTCCTTTTAATATTTTTTAAAAGTTTTATCCTAAAAATTATTTAAACAAAAAGTGTTAGATATGTTAACAGTTTCTGCTGATTTTATTTTGCTGATTTATCAAGCTGATTTTATTTTACCGAAAGCTCTTTCGAATGCTTAAAGTGTGAAAACCTCATGAATTTTAAATATCTACTTTTCAGTTAATAGTCAATTTAAATGCAGTGTGGTTTACAAAATTCTACTTAGAATGTACTCTTAAAAACTGTTTCAATTTCAGCGAGGGGTTTAAAAAACCGCTACTTGAATACTAAAGGTTTAGAAAAATGACACCTTTTATTTTGAAGAAGGAATAAAACTGTTCCTACGAAACATTTTTAGAATATTTTAGATTCAAGCTACTCCGATTGAGATATTTCACAGTCTTATATTTATTTTTGAAAAAAGATTTTGGATACAATTTAAGCAGAACTTTTTATGTCAACTTCTTCTGATAAAATGAATATCAATTCTTTTTTGCAGAACCATTAAGCAATCTTTTTTAGAATCCTTTTCTATGATTATCCAAATAACATATTAAATCTCCGCCGATAAACTAGGCAAATTTGAAACTGCCAAACATGTTGACAGGTCATGGAATTTATTATGATTTACACTTATGTAGGCTTCGAAATTTTTTAAAGAGCAAATGCTTATTCCTTTCTTTTTCTCAAGTGTTAAAAGATAAAAACTACTATTACATAGCCGGTCGCCTAATCATAGGTCTGAGTTTTCTTTTGCTAAAAGTCTTTGAAGTTGCAACTCAGCTATTGACTTAGATTTCTGGAACTCATTTTATACTTCGAAAAAATTTAATGACTTAGCTAATGACCTTTCTAGCAATCTATTCTTTTCAAAAGTTTGAAAATTTATTTTCTTTTAATTAATTTTGCAACTCCTGAGATTCTCCCCCTATCCCTCCACATCTGATCTTGTCCGCCTTTTTTTTTGTTTGGTTATCTTATGAAAGATTATGCCCTCCCATACTGGTCTATACTTTTTGCTTGCTGTAACTTGTTTGCAATTTTCGTATGCTTCTATGTCTCCCTTTTTTTATTCTATGTCTCCATACTGAAGTAGCATTATAGCTCGTTTCTTTATTTGGTACTATATGTGATTTTTTAAAGATTTTTTTCCCCATTCAAACATAGCGTAAAGTAACCCTTTCCTATCTTGAATGTTATCATGTGGCTGCATTCTTACATATAAGAAGTAACGATGATCTGGACAATTTTTAAAGCGAGAATCAAACTTTTTTGCTTGCTGTAACTTGTTTGTAATTTCCGTATGCTTCTATGTTTCCCTTTTTTATTCTATGTCTCCATAGTGAAGAAGCATAGCTTGTTTCTTTATTTGGTACTATTTGTGATTTTTTAATGATTTTTTTCCCATTCAAACATAGCATAAAGTAACCCTTTCCTGTCTTGAATGTTATCATGTGGCTGCATTCTTACATATAAGAAGTAACGATGATCTGGACAATTTT